CCTTCCTAGGTCAAAGTGCCACTCTATCGCAATAGAAATCCCAGGTCGCCAATGCGATTTGCCACTGTATAGCGAGAGGAAACTGTACTATGCCATGTCGCCAATGAGATTTGAAAATCATACGTTATTTGTTAATACACGTACCACCGATGGAGGGCACAACTCTCCCATCACCGTACATCGCGTTGAACTTTATTTCAAATAATCTCGATAGCAGGAGTGTTAGGAATCACACGTTAAAAGTTGAAACCTCGTTAGTCCTCAACTCGCACAAGTTTCTCAACTTCTGAGAGTTGTCGTTTGTATGGGGGAAACTGATTAACGGAAAAACAGATTTTTAAACAGATTCAAACAGCATCTACCAAGGCAGTGGAGTATAGTCTCAGTTCCAGTTTCAGTTTCAATAAAGCCTTCACAGCCCAGCTCGAAGAGATGCGTGCCCCTCCTGAGGTACTCGACTCTCCCGACGAACTCGACGCGGCAGTTGAATGTTTCGAGTTTTCCGTGAATGATGCGTTTCGAGCGGCCACCTCCGGAAAGAGTGTCCGCTAAAGAGCTGGCTTCAGGAGAGACCACTCCACTGAGTTACAGGTTCTAGGGCTGGTCGAAAATACCATCAAAGAGCTCAATGACAACAAAAAAGTACATATTGTGCTATCAGATATTTCGAAGGCCTTTGACCGTGTTTGGCACGAAGGCCTTCTGCACAAATTGAACGCGTTCGAGCTGCCTCGGGCCTGATCTGGTGGATTGGGTCTTTCCTGGAAGGCAGAACTTTTCAGGTTAGAGTAGAGGGCTCTCTGATAACAGAGAGATCCTTGCTGGAGTGCCGCAGGGGGTTGTGCTCTCTCCGACGCTGTACTCTCTTTACACCAGTGACCTCCAAAGGCACGAGCGTGTGAAGATATCATTGTACGCCGACGACACGGCTCTCCTCTCATCTTCCTTAGGTCGGGAGCTCGGCGTCGTTTACATGCAACGACCTCGAGCGCTGGTACCTAGATTGGAAGATCCAAGTGAACCCGGACAAAACTTAGGCGATAACTTCATGTACGTTAAATCTAGGATCGAGGGTCGGATTGCAAGTCTGTACCCTCTGATTGATAGAAAATCAAACAATGAGCCTAAAAAACAAAATCACCATCTACAACACGATGTTCAAGCCTGTCATCATGTATGCTTCAGGCGACTGGGGACAAGCGGCGATATATAATATCTCCATTCTGGAGGTATTGCAAAATGAACTAATGAAGATGATTGTGAATGCTCCTTGGTTCATGCGGAATGAAGCCATCCGCAGAGATTTGCAGCTGCCTTCCATTCGGCAATCCATTCAGTTGAGGAATCGGCGAGTTTTCGAAGGTGCGAAAACTCACGAAAATCTGTTAGTTAGGGAAGCTATATACTATGCTGTAGACGACTCCTCCCGATATAGAAGGCCCCGAGACTCTGTCGAATGAGGCCCTCACGTCCCCCGTTAACGGACGAAGAGCTTTTTCATCCATCCCACCCCAGCCAGGTAGGGGTATCCCGTGAAGGGCGGTACTGATGTCTCAGAACTTCACACCGCCATCCCCTCAGTCATGAACACATTTGCCCTTCTTCGACAAAAGCCAGCCGGAAGGCTAAGGGAGCTGGGCTCCATCCTGATTGACCTCAAAACGATGTGCAGAGTTTCAATACAGTTCCAGCTCCGTTCGAGGTCGAGTTTCAGTAAATAGAGGAAAACCTTTGGACAAAAAAACAGCAGGTACCCAGGATTCAAACCCAGCATGGCAATTAAAGCCTGCCGTACTGGCCACAATCAATTCAGGCGATACCATAGTGACCCCTGGTGTATTACTTTCTTCACTGACGCTGCCTGGAGCACGCCACGCCGAAAGCTGGTGGCCGAGGCAACCCGTGACCTGATCTCGGCGTGAAAATGACCCGTAACGCGTAAAGAGCGGTACAGTATTTTTCAAAAGAAACCATATATTTTTTCTATGTTTCATTAATTAATCCATGTTCAACAATCATACGAAACGGTATGTCCAAGTTCAAATTTGAATTGAAATTCTAAACATCAGTTTTGAAGTCGAAATTGTATTCAATGAATGATATCAGATTGGGTGTTGATTTTGAAATGTGAATTCAATATTTGATCTAAGGTTCCAAATACTGAGTGTACTGACTAATTTACTTGAATATAACTTGTATGTATGTATGTACTTGCATATGTATTTGTTTTTTTTAACATTAATCATGAAATAGAAATACACAAATGACGAATTTTAAATATTTCTATTTTTAAATAATTCTCACACTGAGGAGCTTTGACCTGAATCATTAAATTCGGAGGCATATGTTTTTTTGAGGATCCTAATATATACCCTTTTCAGTGTTTAATCAAATGATCATATTGTGGTAATTTAAAAGCTATCTACAGATAAATTAATCCATATCACAAAAAAAATTAGATGTATAGAATTCCTTATGTATTTAATACGCTGACTCATTATATTGAAAACTCTAAATTTTTTTTTCATATAAAAATAAAATTAAAGAGTGGATAATAGGGACTTCACGAATTTTTTTCCATGATATAATGAATTTCAATAAATCATGTTATACAGTTCATCAACTACATTTCTGAATGATTTTTTTTAATTCATATATTGTTATCAAGCACATATTTTGAATTTATGTATTTATATGTTATCTTCTTTTTTTCACACATGTTCGTATACTTCGTATATGAATATATGTGAGATTGTATTTATAATGATGTATCTGTTCTTATGACTCACCTTGGCACAAGTTTCACCTGCCTTCTCAAGGTTATCAGTTCATTTAGAAGTTTGTTTATTATTTCCAGTGTATATATTATAAAATGTCATTAATAAACTCATATTATTATTGTATGAAATCAAACACATCAGTTATCTTGAGCATTTCATGTGCATTATAATTGCCCACTACACAATACAATTGGAATGAATATCTCAGGAGGTGTCAGTGCGATTTGCGATATGCGTGATGAAGAAAGTTTGCAATTACATTGGTTCTGTTTCTTATTTCGAAGGCAGAGTTCGCCTGTTTGTTTTATATTGTCTTCAGGTAGACAGGTGCTCACCTACTTCAAAATTGAAATCGATACTTGTGAACAAAGTTCGTCATTTTCAGTTACCAGCTTCTGCGATTCTATGAAAAATGTAGCTATATATGATTTACTGCAGACGACTTTTCGATTAATTGATGAACACACGCTATAATGAATATATAATAAATGTCTGTACATTGACAGCAAAATGAGTTCACACTTTTCTGTTTTTCTACTCAAGAACTTATTTCTCTGAAACCAGCTGTTCAAACCAGGTATTTTCATAAAATCAACTTTGATAGACAGTGCAATTCGAACTTTCTTCATCATCAAAATGAACAGATTTGAAACAGCAATAGTAAAAATGACAGTTGAATCGTTTAGATCGAGTTTTTTTAGAAATTCTTCCTAAAAGAAAATTTCAAATCGTTACATTCAACATGAAACAAGTATCACCATTTAAAGTCAAGATTCACAAAATAATCTGAATTGATACGTTGATGAAATGAATAAAAACACCTTCGTCTAATCTCTTCAGTTAATTTTATTTATACGACCGGTTTCGGGTTTAACCCCATCATCAAGTTTTATACTTGATAATAGGGTTAAACCCGAAACCCCTCGTATAAATAATATTAACTAGTGGAAATTAGGCGAAAGTATTTTCATTTATTTCATATAAACAAGTCAACAATCACACATATTTCTACGTTGAATATAGATTCATTCATCACTGTCACTTTTTGTATTCATGTGTTACTTCGCTTCAAGTGCCAAGGTCAAAATGATCTTCATACTCTCACCATCAATGTCTCACAAATTTCTTTTCTTACTTTACAGTTCCCCATAACTACGAAACATAGAGCGGAGGTAAGAAGTAACGACCTTTGGAGTTGCTTTTATGTGTTTATGTGCATGTTTGCATGATATTATGCATGCTTCTTTCATTTCAGCGTGGATTTGTGTCGGTTGCTATTCAAACAAAATATAACGCCACAGCTCCTCGACGCATTTATAACCCCTAAATTACACAAGACATATCCAGTAACCTCAACGTCCATTAAATAGATCCGTATGAATGGTGTTCAAAAGGGAAACTATTCCAACCCCGAGTCGATGTTTTAGACTTAAGGGCGCTCTGCGCCACTGCATGCTAGTGTAGACGGATCTCCTTGAAATGGTATATGCGTAGTTAAACATTCAGATTGGCACATACTGAATTAGACAAATTTCAATCGAAAACGTTTACTGTTTTACCAGTTAAAATTAACACAAATATGCTTCCGTTTCAAATCCTGAAATTTAAAATCTGACGCTGAATGTTTTGACTTCATGTTTTCTTTTCCCGTTTCGTTGTTCTGGAAATAATTTCAATAATATTCCTCGTTCATTCGATCAAAATACGTGAAATTCCATAACTCATGAAATCTATGACCTACGGTCTCAAAATTTCATCAAATTATTATACACCCGAGTTATCTGCTTAGCAAAATGTCCCAAATTATGGATTTGTACACAATCAATCGTACACAGTCAATATATTTCTGGTATTTGACAGAAAACTTGATAATTGGCAACGAACCAAAGCTACATCGGATATCAAAAACGGTTTTCATTACTCATTAAAAATTTGATTGAAATTTTTCCTCCACAATGTGAAAAATATAAAAATTGTAATGGGAAACTTTCATCGGGTGTAAGAAGATCAAATTTTATAGTTCACCCCGATAAGTTACTGCATGAACTCAAAGTATTTTTCATAAAGTAAAATGTTCTGTTCATTAGTAACTTGTCGTATTTGATAATTTTGCCTATCAAAAAAAAGAGGTAAGAAGTTATACAGAATTATATTTACCTTAACAAATGACTTCCGTCCAATATTTGAATTCTGTAATTAAGGAAAAAATTCAACTATTACCTTCCTTATGGCTTTTTTGAAAACGAAATAGTTTTCTTTATAGTATTGATAGTGAAATAGTCTTTCTTTGATAGACGTTGAAGATAGAAATATAAAGGTCATCTGAGTTCATAACAACATTATATTCACTTAGATGATTCCTATTTCTCTGCTTTGTGAGAAAAAGCTGATTCTGAAAATGCATGGGTCATTTTTCATCAACTTCATCTCATTTGATAGTCAAGATTCATAAATTCAACAAATTACGAACTATTTCAACTTTTTCATCAGAAGTTCTCACTACGCATCAAATTCTCAGAGCAAATTCCAATTCACCTTTTAATACGCTTCAAATTATCTTTCAGTTCCGATCTATTTATTCTTCAGATTGTGAAATTATATCTGACATAGTTTACTATTGTTTGAAGGCATCAAGGATCACCTAATATACTGAAAGGGTGTAATTAGAAATAGCCATAGTGAAAAAAAATGCGTACGAAATTATGAAGATCTTGGTCTTCATTTGGAGTCGAATATCAAAAAAGTAATTATAGAAAACAAACTAAGAAATGTAATGATATAATTAGGATTCCATATCATTTCTCGAAAATTTCCTCCTATCCAATAATAAATGGCTACTCAATTTTAAAAAAATCATTCATTATTGGGTAGAAGGAAATTCACAAAAACGGCTTTCTTTTGTCCTAATTATATCATAGCATTTGTCAGTTAGTTTTCAATAATTGCCTCTTCGATATTCGACTTCTTTTGAACGTCAAGACCTTCATAATATATATTTTCTTCAACTATGTCTTTCTCAATAATAATAAACCCATCATTATGAGTCGTAATTAATTAATTTGACGTAAATTTTTGTGAATTTCAAAATGCTGTTAACGACTCAGACACGGTGAGTAAATTGCATTGAATAAAATTATTCATGTGATATTGCTTGGCATAACACTTGACAATACCTTATCTTGGCATCAACATACAAACCAGCTTAGGAGCAAGTTATCCAGCACTATTTATGTTCTACGACAGCTTCAAAATATTACCAACTTCGATATATTAAAAATTACTTATTATTCGCTTTTTCATTCTCATATTGGTTATGGGATTTTTCTTTGGGGAAACACATCTGGTTCTCTCAATTATCTTTAGGTTACAAAAACGCGCCATTGGAATATTGGCGAATGTAGGTTTTCGGGAACCGTGTCAGCCAATTTTCAGAAAACTAGGTATCATGCCTGTACCAACGTTACTCATTTTTCATGTTTTGCTAGAAATCCACAGAATTGCGAGTACCTTACCTAAACGTTCTAATATTCATCAGTACCGTACAAGAACCGCTGAAATGATCTGTACAAATCGATATCGCCTAGCTAAATCACAAAAAAATTCTTTGGATTACAACTTATATAACTGTTTACCAGTCAAGCTGAAAGATCTCAGTATGAATAAATTCAAACAATCCATTAAACAACTATTATTGTAGGGCTGCTTTTACTCTGTCTCTGATTACCTGGGGTATTTTAAAAATCGCTCCTAAGTTTCAACATACAAACAAAATACTCATCTGACTACCGAAAATATGCTATATCATGTTGTTCTTTCATGTTTTTATTGTTAATCTTTATGTTGCTCTACTTTTTATCTTAAATTATATTTTATACTCATCCGATCTGAAATTACTTCTGCTGTGCGTAAGCATAATCTTCATCCCTTTGAAATCCATCTAGAACATGAAGTAAATGAAGATGATCCAGATCGACTTCAGTTTCGTGAAACAAATACATTTTTAATTTCGACACAACCCAACTTCCCCTATCAGGTATGTTTCAGTGATGAAGCAAACTTTTCATAAATTGGTCAGTTGATTGACACTACTATTATATCGATACTGGAGTAATTATAATTCTTGATGGGTTGGAGAAACACATACACAAAATCTTGAGAAATTGAACGTTTGGGCCGGAATTATTGATAATACGGTATTTGGTCCTTTTTATTGACGGAAATTTTACCGGGCGCTTATTCTTGCAACTTTCAGGAGGATGAAGCACCTGTACACTTTTATATTCCTAAAAATACCTAGACGAGGAATTTTTTGGTCGTTGGATTGAGCATAGAAGTTTCTACTGAAACATTACCAATTCTAACAAACGTAAGGGCGGAATTTGAAAGTAGACTCTATTCTTGTCAGGAGATTGGTGATAGTCATTTCAAAAACATCACATGAAATGAATTAAAACTATTTCTCATCACTAGCATTCATTTTTAATATTTCTCATTGATCGCAAAAGAAGTACCGCAGAGACCTCTGTACAGAAATGTTTGTTTCAAAGACCTCTAGTTTGTGCAGAAATGTTTATTTCTTCAATGCCTTCAGAATGGGTTATATGTTGAGAGTACAGCTCCTGGATGCTGCCCTTGTGTAGTTAAATTACTTGTGAATGTATGAAAAAGTAGAGTTCCTTGATTGACTCAACCGTTACTTGATGAAGATCCATAGTAATTTCACATACTACACCTAATGATTTGATCTTCACAAACTTCATTTCCAGAAATGTCATGACATGTTTCGCTATCACAGTGGATTTTTCGTAGTAAATAACATACTGAAAGTTAATTCCTAACTCCGCTTTTCAAATACCCCACGTAATCACCAGTAAGAACTGCCTACTCAGGTACTTACTGGATCATGAATGATGTCCGAGATCTTTGATAAGAACACTGCAAAGCGATATACATAATCATCGATAAAGCAAGTGTGGAAAGCGAGACTTGTAGCCAGGATCCAGAAGATCCAAATAAAAGTCGACAAAAATTATTAATATGTTCACTTCTGAGCGTCGATCCTTCTTTCAGTGAAAAAAAGGTGCGAGAATTATCATAATGAACTTATGGTATATCTGAAAAAAAATCCAAAGAAAAAAATGGAAGTTTCATATTCCTGAAAACTGCAGACTCTCATCAACACAGATATTAAACATAGAGGTCAATGCTTGCCTCAATGGATATATTTATTCACAGGATGAGTAAATGAGTGGTATTCAGTATTATTTTCAATTTTTTTCTCTTGCACAGGAAGGGAAAATTTTTAAAAAGTGTCTTTCGGTCCAATATATAGCTTTTCCGTAGAGAAAGATGCCAGCACCAGCACTTACTCGGGCTCATCTTCAAAGGACTGTTGAGTCCAGCAATGCAATCTTAGTTCAGCTTGACACCACTGGTGAGACCTATGAATGACGGGTTGAAACTGTGCTGAAATAAAGAGAGTGAATCCCATTCGGCGGTCGATGTCGGAGCTTGGCATGACATGAAGTCGCCGGTTCAGTTCTCTTGAGAGGGTAGTTTCTACTATATTTGGTGTGAACTAACTACGTGAATATCATCTTATACCAGAAGGGGAGTAGCGCATCTTTTAGATACTCCTAGAGATAGGAAACGAGTGGTAATGAATCTAGTGAATGAGAATGAGAATCGTCATTGAAATATTCAATGATGGTTCTTGAACTAGGAGAAGGAGCCACCTTTCTCTTTTCACCAAATTTTCCATTCAATCATTATAGAATGATTGGATGAATTATCTTACCTCAATATTTCCTCTGGGAAAGTTTGGATTCATTGTGGATTGTCTTGTTTGAGACCAGCGATGACTGTTACGTCGATTCAGTACCTCAATTTCAAATCGCCTTTCATTGCACCATGAATCTTGTTCAGTTATAAATATTCAATATTCTTTGTATTGATTCAAAATTATTGCTGTATTTATAATATCAAGGCAATCACTGACTTTCTCAAACTAATGAGCCGCTTTGTTTGTTTTCAAAGATCGTTTTAGAAACAGTATCTTTCAGTTCCTAAAGAGAAAAGCATCTGAGGCGGATCGGATTTCAGGGCGGAATAAAAGCCCCTCTTCAACGTTTCAAGTTGTGCTAGTACGCAGTTTTACATATGAAAGGCGGCA